TCAGCCCTAGTTCTTCACTGCTTTGGAGATCTAAGACCACATAAACAACAGGTCATTTAATGATTCTTGGCCTTAACTTCTGCCTCATAAAAAGGGGTTAAAATACTAGTATGTCCTCACACAGTCCTAAAAAGTTCCACATTAAATAATGCTCATGGAAGCCTTTTGTAGTACACTGTCTAGATTTACCTTAGTACTCAGCTTTGTTGGTTCTATCTGAATCCAGAATTGTCCCTCAATATCCATCGGGGACATCTAGGCTCAAATACCTTGTACAAAATGACATATTAAGGGGACTAGAGAGATGGCTCAGCAGTTAAGAGCACACACTGATCTTGCAGAGGACCCTGAGTTCAGTTACCAGTATCTACATTGGGTGGTTCACAACAAATCCAGCTCCAGGGGAATCCAACACCATCTTCTGGACTCTGTGCACACCTTCATTCACATGCACATACCCACACACAGACATATGCATGTACATATAATTTAAAAATAATAAAAAAATCTTTTTAAATTACACATTTGATATAACCTATGCACATCATTCTGTACATCTTAAACTTTTTTCTAGGTTATACATATAAATGTAAATGCTATATAAGTAATTCTTATACTGTATTATGGAATGATTACAAAAAAGAAGGTCTGAGCATGTTCAATATAGATGAGTTTATTTTCCTTAAATATTTTCAGTTCATAGTTGATCCACACATGCAGACCCGTAGATGTGGAGTGCCAACTACATATCAATCTACTATGTGCCCCTGTAGCATTCAGCACAGTACCAGTCTGAGAAGTATTTACTCTTCTTGATAATGTTGTCAGCAATAATGTAGCTGCTGGTGATGGATACCAACTACTGATGAAGATGACTTAATAGTCATCCACAGTCCAGAAAACCTGTTTTTAAGTTTGAATGCAGCCCTTAAGCCATGCCCCTTCACTCCCTCTCTTTTCTGACATGGTGGCTAAAGGGTGGAAAGAAGCTTCCAGTCTGGCACAGGCCCCTTTAAAAATGTACCCGGGCTCCTCCTCTGCCAACCAGGTTGCTAAAAATACTACTACAGCAAAAGCTGAAATATTTGCAGAGAAAACTGAATTTCCTGCAACCCCCACTCCCTCCACTCAAATGGGTAAAATCCTGACCTGAGAAGCCCCAGATCAGCTCTGCCAGAGGCACAAGCTTCCAACTTTCCCACCCCCTTCTTATTATGGAGTCCCTCTGTGGGCTTGAGCTGGGATGTTATGTTCAGCGAGGGCCTACTCCCAGAAGGGAAAGCTACACGTATTGGCAAATAGATTGTCACGTGCTGCCTTGGCTTTTCTTTCTGCTTACTAGGACCAACCCTCTCCAACCCCCAACCTCCATCTGTCCCAAGAAGGATCAGTATTGGACCACAGAGCCTTCACGCTAACCTATCGTTCATCCCTCGCTCCTCTTCTGTTTGCCTTTCCTTCTAGTCTTTCCCTTCCTGACACTTGCTGGCTCCAGCCCATGGCAGTGACATACCCTGGCTCCCTCTCCAACCCAGTCTTTCTAGAACTCCTCTCTTTTCCAGGCCTTCAGCCCCTTCCTGTGTGGGCTGATAAATGTGTAGGAGAGTTGAAACTGGAAGAGTCAAGGAGAATTATAGGGTCCAAGCCCAGTTAGCTAATAAGTGGTGCCAAAGCTTGACCTCTGGCACCCAGGACCTAAGGCTGGACAGGCCATGGTGGGGAACATGCCTGGTATCACTTTGCCAAAGACTAGAGTCCCACAGAGCCACACTCAAGAGCCCTGCACCACACCCTTCTTCAGGTTCCTTCAGGGAGTCACAGGCTCAGTCCCACCAGCGTACCTTGCTGATAAAGGCCAGTCACCTTGTCCAGAATAGGGGTGTCTCACCAGGCTTAGTGTGTGCTCTGGCTCTGAGGCAGTGATCGGGTCCAACAAGAGGAAATGATGGATGTCACAGTGCCACGGCCTGCTCAGGGTGTGTGTCTCTGTAGATGTATGGGCAGCCAGTATTGTGTACCTTCGAGCCTTCGTGTATGTTATTTGCCTCTACGTCTGAGAATCGGTGAGCTTGTCTGTCTTCTCATTCTGGGCTCTGCCTTCCTCTCTGTCTGCCTTTTCCTCACCTTGGAACCTGCCCATCCCCCAGGGCAAGCACTGAGGCTAGTTCTGTGTGGGCACTTCAAGTGGGCTGTTGCTGAAATGAATGTTTTGCGAATGGAACTGACAGTTTATCTGGTCTCCCATGGGTCCACCAATGTTCAGACACCCTCACCCCACACAAAGGTGTCTTACAGGAGGAAAGGAGGGAGGTGCTGTGTAGGAGTTGGAAGCGGGGTGTAAAGATACCCCTCCCTTTCAGCTCTGACCAGCAGGAAGAAGGGCCCAGAGGCAGCACAGCCTGCAGAGGATGTTGCCTAGCAACTCCAGAGACTTTACCGCAAACTCACCAAATCCCGAATTCCTCAGCTCTAATTTGGGAAGGGAAAAGCAGAGTCCAGGCCTGATATCCTTTCTGCCCCTCAGTTTCCTTCTTTCCTCTCCCTTCTGGATTCTGGAGTGGAAGCCCAGGGGAAATCGGCGCAACCCAAGACTCCAGCTGTGCCCGTCACTCAAGCAAGGACCCGAGTTCCAAGGACATCCTGCCATTTGGTGGAGGTGGGGGACAAAAGACATGCCAGAGACAGATTGGGGAACAGATTTGCAGTTACAGGGGTGGGTGGGTCCCAAACATGCTGGGAGACACACCCCTACACCCCAACCTTGGAATCCTAGCCAGACTCCAGCTCAGCTTGGAGCCCCAAGAGGCTAATCCTGTCTCCAACCTGAGTGGACACTGACTTTCCCTCCCACTCATTCTCCCTTTAGCAAGGAAGGTCATGGCCCAAATGTCTGGTGAAAGAGAAACATGTAACAGCCCCTCTGTGACTGTCCTGTTGATGGTAGAGCTGTTGAAGCCTGGCTGTTTTGGGTCTTCTGTCCTGCTCAGAGCCACAGGGCATTTCTTCCTCTCTGCTCTAAGCAGTATCTATCCCTTCCTATCCCTCCTCTGAGATCTTAGCTGAGAAGGACTTTCTAGTTTTCTCAGAGATGACCCAGCCACCTACATAACATCCAAGCAGCCAGCCCTGCTACCCTGACAAGCTGGGGGAGGTCAGCAACCACAAAGTGATAAGCTACCCCTTCCAGATGTTCCTTCCATTATCTCCCCTTCCCAGCTTCTCCCAAAGCTTCATCCTTCCCCATCATAGGTCCAAGGGGCCAACACTAGTGATAATTCCCTACACTACTTGGGTTGAGGGTATTTTTTTCCTTTGGGAAGAACAATTTTGAGGGCAGTTAACTTTTGTCTTGTTTTGAGGCAGTGAATCAAAAGGTTAGGAAGTCTAGAATAAAGAATGGGATGGGTGGGTCTGTCGAATCAGCACCAGTAGATAAATACATTCAAAACAAATGCTGGGCATAGATGATTTTATTTGGTACAGAGAAAATGGATGGAATAGATGGTTTGTTGGAGGGATGAATGGAAAGAAAGATGATGGATACATAAACAGATCATGGATAGATACAAAATGGATACCTGGCCAGGTGTGGTGGTGTGTGCTTTTAATTCCAGCACATGGGAGGCAGAGCCAGGTGGATCTCTATGAGATCGAGGTCGGCCTGGTCTACATAGTAATTTCCAGGACAGCTGGGACTAAGACCCTGTCTCAAAAAGACAGTGACTGAAGACATAACTGGTCAAAGAACTGAAAATAAATGACTGTTGAATGCCCAGCCATAAATAGAACATTGATATCAACCCTTCCAAGTCTCAGGAAACACAGTGGAAGAAGGGGTGGAAAGAAAGTAAGAGCCAGAGAAAGAGGGAAGGGGTACAGACCGCTGTCTTCTGAGAAGGAGTTGGCTGTTATTCTCTTGAACTCACAGCAGCTATGATCATCTGTACAAGATTTGCACAAGACTGGGCCTGTCACTCTGCCATTTGGGCTCCCTGAGGACTTATATGTAGCCACTGGTAAGGTGCCCATGCTCTTCTAAACCCTTACCCATGCTCCTGTAAACAATCGGAATAATATTCATTGGGTCACACACACACACATACACATACATACACACACACACACACACACACACACACACACACCACAACACATGAAAGTAAAAGGGGGCTAGTTGGGAAGAGGAAAAGGATTAGCTGGTGTGGGAGGATGACAAGAGAGGGAAATGGGAGGGAAGAATATGGTTAAAGCACATTAGGTACATGTATGAAAATATAATGAAATCCATTATTGTGTAGAATAGATATATACTAATAAAAACATTTAAAAATAAATGAAAGAAAAAATAAGCTAGATACCTAACATTGGCACTGTCAGAAGTGTGAATTCAGGTTCGTTTGCATGTGTGCCACACCACCTCCCAAAATACAGGATGTCTGCATTGACCTGCATCAGCACAAGGTTTGTGCACAAGGCCTGTGTCGTTGTTTTTGGAAGCTGCACTCCAGTGTCTGTCTGTGGAAAGATGGGTACACTTCAGTGAGTATGGATGTGAGGCTTGAAGCTTCTATGCAGTTATGTGGCCATCCGCAGGCTGTATACCATCAGCTTTCTTGGTAACTGGAACGATGAGGGCATTTTGCTGCTTTTGGAGTTTTTCTTTGCAGAGGGGGAGTTTAAGGGAACCATATCTGGGACTCTAGCTAGGTTGTGGAAGTATAGGGAGGTGGGTGGGGGTGTGTGGTTTTCTATCTATGGGCGGGAGGACGTGCAGAGTCCAGATGTGTTTGTACCCTGGATGTTGGGGGCCTCGTTGCCTGCTCCGACGTACATCTGCCTGGTAGTCTGCGCCTGAGAAAGCAAGGGGGTTGAATTTGGGAGATAGGGTGTGTAGGAGGAAAGGATGGAAGCTTGTAGGCGGAGGGGTTGGGGCACAAGAATGAGCCGCGAGGCGGAGAGAGCCTAGAGAGGGAGTGGTCCTCCCTCAAGCTCTCCCCGCCCACCCTGTGATAGTGTCTCCTGATTGGCTTCGCGACCGCAGGGCTCAAGTGGCTTTCGCTAGAGTTGCAGAGCGCGGGAGACCGGACCTAGAGGAGAGCTGCTGGTTCAGCGCGGGTTCCGCGCGGGTCGGGGAGCGCCCGACAGCCCCAGAGCTGCCACCCAGCATCGCACAGACCCACCCCCGCTCTGCGCCAGGCTCCACCCCAGCCCAGGACCCTCCACACCAGCATGGACTGCTGCACCGTAAGTCCATGCTTGAACTCAGTTTGGTCTGGGGCAAGGGGCACCCGAGAACTCCGGAGGGTGAGTGAGGGATGGAAGTGGGTGCGGAGAACCCAGGAGCCTTTCGGAGGCAGAGTGCTGAGACATGGTGATGGGTGATGGAAGGTGCCTGTCGGATTTGAACCAAGCCCTGGAGAAAATGCGCCCAAGCTAGCGGGGGCGTCTGCGCTCACCTGGGACCCGCAGCCTAGGCTGGACTGAGAGCTGGGCAGGGCTTTGCTGCAGGGAAGCTGTAGGCTAGAACAGAGGAGGAATCCCCTGCCCCCAGGAGACGCTGAAACTGTCGCTGGCATGCTAGTCGTTTCCCTTGATGTTTTTTTGACCCCCGCCCCCCACCATTCCTATTCCACTGCCGCCGTCGGTAGGCGGACAGGTTGATCTTCACGACCCTCGGATGATCCCCTGATATCTTGTACAGCGCAGGCATAATACAACCACCTTGGTCTCAGTGATGACAGACAACATAGTGGGTGCCTAGGCAGTGTGGTTCTGGGGAGGAGCTGACCTGGCCCCCAACGCCTTCTGGCTCTGGAGGGGGCTGGGTGAGTGACCGCGAAGAGCCCTGCTGGCGAGGGGAGGAAGCGTCTGTGATTTGTCAGCGCCCACACGGAAACTAGATGCTGCAAGTGCCTAACGCCACAGCAGATCCTGTAAAGGTGACTGGTATGAACGTGCCAGGCACAGTACCCGGTTCCACAGGGCTGCTGTAGAGTGATCATGCATGTATAACCCTATCTACAAAGAAAGACGACTCCAAAGTCCTTGTGTTCTTGTTCAATCAACCTAGCTAAAGACTGGAGAGGTTACTTCATAACTGCCTGAATCCCACTTTCCATAAATAAAATAAAATACGTTGGGGGGGGGGATGGGGAGGGTATCACAGTTCTTTAAGAGGTGAGATTCCTGATATCTGGGTACCCAGAGGCAGAGAGAACTTAAGATTATAACTCTTATAATCAGCAAGAGCTGACCATGTGCATGTGGATGAGCCTGACCACCCCAGCAAGAAGACTCCCTTGCCAAGTGTGGACCCTGTCAGCTCAAATGGCTGAGCTTAAACCCATCATGAAGCACAGTTTTTCATTACTATAAAAGTAAACATAAAGACCAGACAAGGAATGAAAAAGAAGCAAGTCAATCATACACAATCCTGCCCCACTGGAGAATACTGTTAACAGTTCCCCCTGTTAGTCTCCAGAGAACAATTTATTTGTGCTGTTTATTTATTTTTGGTGCTGGAGCTTGAACCTGAGGCCTTCTGCATGCTAAGTACATACTCTGCCCTATACACACCCAGCCCAAAACACAATTTTTGACTATGAAAGAGATGTGGAGGTCTTTAGTCTCCTTTGAGGAAGATCCCCTCACTCCCAGAAGTGTTTTATTAAGCAAAGAAAATAAATAAATGGCAGATTATGCGTTCTGAGTCAGTAGGGGGAGGGTACTACTAAGCAGGAAGGACTTTGCTGAGGAGGATGGGGAAGGGGAGTCAGGAGGCATGGCCTGTGGAATGGCCTGAGTGAAGGAATACTCCAAGAGGCCAGGGAAGAAATGACACTTGTCTTCTCTGGGGTCTGCAGAAGCAATGAGGATAGGATGTGGGGTTCCTGCTTGCAGGCCCTGTCTGCCCTGGCTAGTGCATGTAAATACCTAGGAAGCCATTGGTGCAGGGCAGATAGCTACTGAACAGGTGATTGGTGCTGACAGATAGGAGCTGAGGGTGTGGTTGACCTGATTCAAGCCAGTGTCCCCTAAGAAAAAGAGGGGCTACCCACCCAAGAGGGCTACCAAAGCCCAATGAACCAGGTGGCCCAGGGTCCTCCTGGGGCACCTCCTCCAATGACCCCTGACATAGAGTTGTCTTTTTTCATATCCTAAGACTTCAGGGCCAAAGGGCCAGATAAGAGTCAGCATGATACTCAGCCTGTGCTGGTGGAAGAGGGAGAGGGAATAAGAGAGGAGGGCTGGGGAAGGGCAGGGCTGAGGCCAGGAATCTTCCTGCCCCATTCTGTAAGAGAACAGTGCTTTTCTTCACCTTTCACCGTGAGGCTCTCCTCCTTGACCACCTCACCCTCCCCCGATGTTTGGGAAGTATGTAGTCTTGTCTTATTCTTTTCTTTCCTCCTTGTAAGCAAGCTTGGACAGAAATGAGGCAGAAGAAAACAGATACGCTTTTTTTTTTCATAAGAGAATGTTTTTCTAAAGAGCTGTTATTCAATGTTCCAGTGGCTGAATGGCATAGCCAACAAACGTGACTTTCCCCGCATTCATTTAACAGGAAAAGGTGAAGAAACCTTTGTTTTGTTTGGTCTAGTTGACTATGGCTGCCCTGAGGCAGCGGTTAACAGCACCAGCTACTGAATCAGATAATTTCACTATTTGTCAACTGTGTAACCTGAGGGATTGGGTAATAAAACCATTGGTGTTGTTTCTTGACTTCTAAAATAAAGATTAAATAAGGTAAAAGGTGCAAATGCTTAGCGCAGAGCCCACCATGTAACAGGCAGCAGACTAGCATAATGCTCAAAGCTGTTAGGGTTTGGGAAGCCAAAGGGAACTTTGTTCACCTATGCTAAGTTCTACCTGGGGACATGCCAACAGTCTCAGCTTTGGGACACAGTAGCCCAGGGACAAAGACCGATAAGCTCCTTGTCGAGTTCCTTCCTTCTCCCTCCATTTCTGCCTGTGGACAGCCATGAACTGCTCTGTCCTAAGAAACCAGCTGGCAGGTGAGAGGCGCACAGGGAGGGCAGTGCATCATCGTGCCAGGCCCTGTTGGGGGTGGCTTGCTTGTTTTTCCAGTTTTCCATTCTGGAGACAGCTGGGGTGGTGGTGACAGCAGGTCAGGTCTTAGCATGGCTGGGGAAGATACTCCTTCTCCTCTCAACACCCCCCCACACACAGACTCACGCCTCCATAGCTGCCAAGGCCAAGGAAGAGAGGGGATCTGGAATCGTTCTTATGCTTGCTGCCCTCCTTCAAGATGGAGCCTGGCTGTTCACTGAGACTATCCCAAGGAAGACTTGAGTGCTCAGAAACAGAAAATCTAAAAGAGTTGTTTTGGATTTTATGTGAAGAATAAGATGTCAGGGAGAGCTCTAGAGCTAAGAAAAATAAAAACTGTTTTAGGC